GCATACCTACCGTTGTCATTTATACAGTATCCGTTGTCCTGTGTCATATTCCGATCGGTAAAACTAATGCCTTTATTTCGATGGTAGAACATATTTAACTATATGATCAGTAGAAAAACACTTTGAGTGATTGCAGTACCAAAGTAATTTAATCTAGTCGCTCTATTCAACATACAGTTCATGAAAATCTAATTGAAGCGACGGTTATGTCCGCCATTTGTGACAACGGTATCTGACTTTACCGTTGTCAGGCTATTCCGTTGTGAAAGCATTACAGGAAAAAATCTATGTTATGATGTTCTAGTGAACTAATCACGTGGTGATAAAATGACAATGGAGTGACAATATAGTAATAGCTGAATCAGTACAATAAATGTATTCCAGAGCTTTATTTCTCATGTAAGGCGGCCATGTTGAACTCGCATTGTCCTTAAAGGAAATGGTTAATTAACTAAAAGGTTTTCAGTGGTACTATTATCAACTGATTCGGAGCAATCGATTACTGAGAAAGTTGATTCCGTGGGAGGACCCGGAGGATCTATGATTATCTTGATTTATAGAGACACCATGCCAGTCTCCGAATATTACAGCATCTATCAAATTGTCCCACGATTAGTATTGGTAATACCAATAATCATGTGGAGAATTTATTAAGCCGTGCGAAAAAGTTCTTGTGACCGGGTGGTGGCAAAATACAAGAAGACTTTTTAGTTTACTTTTTATTTCAGAGAACAAAAAATATGTTAAATTAATTACAATTCAGTTACATAGAACAGTTACATTTTACAATTCTGTGTTTGATTACATTTCAGTTTTTAAGAATTGGAGTTCCAAAGGAAAAATCGTTTGTTAATTTAATGTCCACGCCTACGTGTTTGTCCATAATAAAGCAAAATGATTGTTTTATCATTTATACTCTCAGGTCCTATCAGTACATTTTGTTTAGTACATAGCACTGTTAGCTCTAATGGGAGCCATTGTTTAATCTCAAAACTAGAAAACAGCAACTTCACGGAGTAGCAAATCTCACAGAACAAAACATATTTTGATAAATAGCGGCCATCTTGAATATTTCTTCTTGAATAGAGCTCCTTTGTCCCTTACTAGGTATCAGCATAAAAACTTTGAACTAAATCCGTATAGCATTTCAGTTATCAAAGATTATCAAAACATATATTTAAGTTATCGCCCGGACAAACGAACGGACGTAAAGATTACGAAAAATGGCGGTCAATTTGAAATTCAGTCGCCATCTTGAAAATTCCTTCTTGAGCAAAGCCCCTATTTGTTCCTTGACATCAGCATATAGAATTTGAACTAAATCCATCAACTATGTATGAATCTTTGATAATGATATATTAACGGATTTAAGCCCATGACTCATTATATTGTAGGATGATTTAAGACTTTGCATAAGTGCGACAGTACTTACTCTTTTTAAGGGAAAAAATCAAACAAGAAGAATGCCATTTTACATGATGTACAGGGTGTCAAATAAGTCTGTTCTCCCCCCTTAACTTTTTTTATCTTTAAATTTATCATACTTTCCCATATATCATTTTGAAGCTTATGGAAAATGCTAATCACCCTCAAAAATCAATCATAAACTCCTCCTCATAAAATTGCTACAATATTTGTTTCGAACAAGACATGAAAATGACAAAATTACCCTACTTCCAAAGGTCATTGAGGGTCGACCAAAGGTCAAAGCTCAGAACTAAATTCAGATTTGGACTTCTGAGAATTTGTAGATGATTTTGCAAAAATGGTCAATTTTAAACAAGTTTCGAAAAATTGACTTGTTTACCTTGGGAAGGTCAAATCTAAATTCAGATTTAACTTCTGAGAATTTGAAGGTGATTTTGAAAAACAGAAGTCTGATCTAAACAGTAATTGTTAAGTTATTGGATGTTGTAAGGTTTTGTTTCAAGAATTTGTTACAATAGGTTTGTTACAGACGTCGTCCACAAAAAAGTTGTGAGACCAAGACAATATATAATTTGATGGTGACAAAAAAATTGTAATAATTAATAATTTGATTTAACGTTCCTTACCTCAGTTGGGCAACTGAATGTCCACCAAGACTCGAAGTAATCTCTCATGTAAAGTCAAATTTGGAGTTCTTAGAACTTAGACATGATTTTGAAAAAATGGTCACTTAAACCAAAGTCGAATAAGACCTTTCCTTTTCTGACATTGAAAATGTCATCGAAGGTCAAATCTCATGTAACTCTTAAGTCAGATTCGAACTTCTGAGAATTTATAGTTGATTTTGAAAAAATGAAGCCTGTCCTAAACAATACTTGTTAAGTTATTGGATGTTGTAAGCCTTTGTTACAAGAATTGTTACAAGAAAGGACTGGTCCATATTACAGGATATTGGTCAACTTATGATTTTTCCAATAAAAACATTCTTCTATTTACTTTTAAACCAATTGCATGTTGAAGATGAATCTTTACCCTTGATTTGTGCAATTTCAAAAAGTGGCATAGATTTTCAGTTTCTTAGAAAAATTGAGCAAGGCAATTGACAAAATGTAGCTATGTGTGCAATTTATCTATGTAAATCTGGATCACATTGTCATTTTTGTTCACTTTATTATCAAGTTTTAGCATCGTGCTCATTTCCTTTCATTGAAAAGTTAACTGTTAGTCCACACTCCCACAAAGACTGAAAACTGTTAAATGCAGAGACTGTAAAGTATAGCTTCTCTGCAAATATCATTGCTGTGGGAGTGTGGGCTCACGTTTGTATGGATTGTATGCAATGCATTATCAGCCGCTCTGGAAATTCTGAGAATACGATAATATGTACACCATTCTTGATGACCACACGCTCTAAAAAGCCTGTATTGTACAGTAAGGTAGAGATGTTGAAAACACTTGTAGGGCCGAAAAATTATTGGTTCAAATCATTTTCATCCAAATGCCCATGGGCATTAATTGAAAGCAAGTCTAAAGCTCTTAAAAACATACGTAATTTTGAAAACAGCAGACCAGAAGAGCCAAAAAGAAAAAAATTAATTTGATTAAAACCGATCAGTAAATGTCCAAGGGCATTTATGAAAAGTAAGCCTAACATCCATTTGCATTAAGTTATGCATATATCCACTTAATATAGCGATCATTTAAATGCCAATGGGCATTCGCTAGTTTGAATCGAGAAAAATATGGAAAGATCATCTAATTCTTTATGTATGCATTGAACATGGGAAGGGCATAAAGAGAGAAAACTTTAAATGAAAAATATCATTAGCTATAGAAATCCTATATGGACATTGAATTTCAAACATATTCAATTTAATGCCCATAAAAATATATTAAATGCATGCTGTTTTACTTCTATTTACATGTTTTATTATTAGTCATAATCAATTAAGCGAAGTGTACTCATTTCCAGTACTATAAATTGATTTACTAAAGCTTATCATCATATTTCAATGTCGACCTTGACATGACCTAAGTGGAAAGGTTGAATGTCAAAAACTACTGAAGCAATTATTTAAGTTATTTATCATTCCTTTACAATTTCATGGCCAATGATGCTTGTTTTCTTGGGGGGGGGGGATAAAAGGGCGCCATACCGCCACCTGCCCTTTGTCCACAAAAAGGTTGGGAGACCAAAACAATATGTCGCCTTGGTCAGGTGGTGACATAAAAAATTGTTATGATTAATAATTTGATATTACGTTCCTTACCTCAGTTGGGCACCTGCATGTCCACCAAATCTCGAATGTCTCCATGATATCATGTGCTTCACTTCTTCTCCTAGTATTTGTATCATCGGGGCGGGATACACGATACCATGACTTATAGCAAGTGGCTCGATCGTGTAATCTCTTGGATACTAGTCATGACTCTGTATTGTTTGAAACCTCACTAAACGCCATTGCAATTTGCACGCTAAAGAATGGTCATCATCGTAGAGAAACTGGCAGCCCTGACAGTAAGATCGATATCCATAAACGTAACATTTTAAAAACAATTGAAGATACAAATGAAACGAGTTGAACCATACAGTACAAGGCAATAAAAATCTAATACCAATCAAACCTAATAAATAAGCTATCAAAGGAGCAAAGTTCAATACTACAATATGGAAATACATTCATATTTAAGATGCAAAACTCGTCTTATTTAGGATTCTGACGTTGCCTCTGAGTTTTACAACAAACTTCTGTTATTAAAACGCATTCTCCTACAAATCACCATTGTTATGACTTGAGATTGGATAATCAATAGCTTATTATGAGGTATAGTATCATCTAGTTAGGTATTTATTAATGACGATATGAGATTACTTTTATGAACAATAACTTCTCATTTATGGGCAAACAAATTGTGCATCTTTATATTTATGACTAACGAGCACAATCGCAGACTTGTTTTAATAAGAAACAGATAGCGGAATAAGAGACGCAAAATAACTACTCGAAAGTTGAATATTCAATAAGTTTAGATTGGACGCTAACTAGCACTTCTAGGATTAAACATCTCACAACCTGAAGCCGTGCAGGGAAGATATTAGAATATATACCAAAACCGCTAATTGGAGTTAACATTTTGTGAATATCATAAACAGGCGAGCCAAACACGTAAGCTTACATTACCTTGCTTCAGTTGCCGTGAAGACAGATGATTCGCAGATGATATGCACTTAATCAGTGTATAAGTAACCTTTCACAGGTAAATAAGAAAACTGGGAAATCGTATTAACCAGATAGAAATATAAACCCGGCACAGGTCGGTGGCTTTACATCAGGAAAGAACTAAGAACACTGATTGATGTTTTAATGGAATAATACGTTATAGTGATTGAACGACTTTTACCATGTACACTGTTATTTATTGAATTATATGGCGGTCAAACGATATAATAAGTTCAGCGACCCTTTTCATAATAACTTAAAAACAAATCAAGAAGTCGACGATCGCCAAAATTGATTGGCCGATACCTCAATGCATGGATTCGCCGTATGTTTTTCGAGTTTGTAAAATGCCTTTACATTCCACTGAAATAGTCTAAAAGGAATGGACAAATAGACTTGCCTAAAAGGAATGGAAAAATAGGACCGTCTAAATTAAAAGGAATGGACATTGTGTTTGTCTACTTTAAATAGTAAATTGAAAAAGCCTTGTTTTTACGATGGTGGAAACTTCGACCTATCTGTTGGATACTAAAAGTATTATATCTGAAACGTACAATAAAAACATAGCAACAGTTAATATGAGGTATGATTCAAATTCTGACTTTGATAATGTTATTAACGATTCTTTATCAAATATCTCCATCGAAGAATCTTTATTTATCGCACTTGGACCGAGGAGGCAATCTTTACTAAAGGTGATACCAATTACCGTTGTGTACTGTATAATATTCATTACCGGAATAGTTGGTAACATATGTACTTGTTTGGTAGTAGCAAGAAACAAGTACATGCAGACAGCCACTAACTATTACTTATTCAACCTTGCCATAGCTGATTTATTGATGCTAGTTCTAGGCCTTCCACAGGAAGTATATTCCTTCTGGAGCAGCTACCCATGGATTTTCGGTGAAAGCTTTTGTGTTATCCGCACAATGGCAGCGGAGACGTCAACATATGCGTCTATCCTGACGATCACTGCTTTCACGATTGAAAGATATGTCGCTATCTGTCATCCTCTTAAATGTCAGACGTTGTCAAGTCTTTCCCGCGCAGTCAAAGTCATCGTACTTCTTTGGATCGTCAGTGCCATCCTCTCCATTCCTATTGTCATCTTGTTTGGGATCGTTTACAAACACGATAGAAATGATCAAATCATTCTAGACTCTGCCACCTGTAACATTAAAGAGGAGTACGATCATGTCTATAAACATGCATTTGAAGTGGCCACATTTTTGTTCTTTTTGGCACCCATGACCGTTATCACTGTGTTGTACGTGTTAATAGGGCTTGCTATAAGACGGTCCAGTTTGTCCCGAGCGGGGTCTGACTCGTCAACCGGAAGTGGGCCGAATGGTACGGAGTTACGTGCGGTGCACCAGTCTAGAGCGAGACGATCTGTTCTCAAGATGTTAGGTAATATGCTACTTCATAATACTTTTAAACAAAAGTATAGATTCATAACATGTTCTAAACCTCATTCATCAATGTTTTGGTAACTTGCTTTATTTACCTTGAAACTACCTAGATCGAGAATCTCATTCGAGGCGATTTGTAAAATATGTTAATACTGCACCATTATTAATGTGTTAACTAGATAATTGGATCCATATCAATGTTTTCGATTACTATAAATTTGAATACAAAATCATTGAATTGGTCCTGAGATATTCAATCGTCGAAAGTGAAGAATTTTGTCTTGAGATTTATTTCAGTAGTCTGGGTATTGCTTCTTTGATTACGAAGCTTTCTAAATTAGTAATCACTAACTTGCTTTTGGGCTTCATTGTGTTTTCATATTGTATAATTTGTTCCACAGCATGTACTCTGCACCTTATCTGCAAATCATCAAGTATATCGCACAATGTTTCACGTACTGTACGCACATGCAATGTACTGAAGCCTAGACTTGCATCAAAACCCCTTACTCCTGTATTGTTTTGTTCCTTGTGTAAAAAGGAATATTTGGGTCAAGTCAGAAGAATTCAAGAATCCGAATAATTGGGTTACTTAAAATAGTTGGGGCATACACATACATGTACATGATCCCAATTAAACCTCGTCTAACTTTACCTGTTATAATAAGGATCCATTATATTATTCAATCTAATACTCATCTCTTCTATTTCCTTCGATAGCAACATGATCTGATGTTACACAATCATGCACATCTTCTTACTTTGCCGACTTCAAGTTATGGAAAATGTAATATAGTTATCGTGTATGTCTTTCCTAACATTGGGTCATGGGCCATTTACCTTTAATTAGACTCAGAGCACAGTGTGTGGTTTAAGTTAGATAAACCATTCGTCTTGGGTCTTAGGAGAAAATAATGCCCTCGTGGCTATCGTACCTTGGCCATTATTTTTCCTCTCACCCAAGACTCGTCGTTTATCTATAACATAATGCTTCTGTGTAACCACGTGCTTTTAACGGGAATAATGCATGATGTCATCAAATCATGAAATGGTTATGAAATCATCATCGTTACAAATCTGCTTTCCTCCATTCAAAGAGAAAATGGGTAATCACGGCAAAGGTATAGGGTACTAATTAGCTACCTTTTAGTTATTGGTTTTTAATTAAAGAGCATATCGTGTATACAAAGGAGGATAACAGATTCGTTTCTCTGATGAATAGTGTAGAAATGACTCTTAGAAGGTTAATTGGAACATTTGTCATTTCGATAAATGGACATCTGAATCAAGGTAGTTATACCAGATGTACCTTTTAATCGGATGTGACATTTACACTTAGATGTAACAGAACCAGATATATTACATATTGTATGCCTGAAAATATTAATTAAGATATGATAGATATGTCACCGTATATGACAATATTAAAGTTTCTTCGATTTCTGCACTGGTGATCCGCTCGATTACGTTGGTTACCGAAACGGTTCGTTTCGTAACAAAATGTCGGAACGTCGAAGGTATGATTTTTCTTTTTCCCTATCTCACGCGTTGTAGGCAGAATCCCCACTACGTTTTTTCTCACAAACGTATATCGGTATCATATGTTTTAGAAAATGTATATGTTTGCGAAAAATAGCTCAGAAGACAACAGAATCGTCGATTTAATTCCTCACTTAAGTTACAGAAACGGTTTGGGTTAAAAGTGCAGATCTTGACTGTTTTTCGAAATACTATCTACTCTACTCTATATAAAGACGTTGCTTTTATAAAGTTTCAACGAAGTAAGACTAGAAAAAATCAATTGCTTAACAAACAATCCTTAATTGTATTTCACGATCGAGAATCATCAAAAGGCGTGATGATATCGGTGTTCGAAAAACTATAAATAGTAACGGTTGTTCTGGTATTTAAAAATATAACGAATTTATGATGCCATAGCGACGAGTCTGTTTTCTATGGTGGTCAAATGATAAATTTTCAGTCGGAGTATGATATATGAATACACTGATACATGCACGGCGATGAAAAGTAAGTTTCGTTCTGTAGTTCAAGACGTACCCAAATGACACATGAAAATAAGGACCGCCATGGCAATGCTACACAAGAATAAATAAACTAAAATATGATCTTCTGTCATTTAATGCCAAATTGGTTTTACTTAAGTTGTAATTATAATTTAAATTTAAGAATCAAAATTGAATTTCAAAAAATTTAAAAATGCCTTCATAAGTTGTTTATAGAGTTCTAAGTGAGGGCGATTTCATTAATACAGTCGCATGTTTTATTATTCATAACAAGAATTGATGAAAAGTCATCAGTTACATAATTCAGTACATAGCTGTCAAAGTAATATATTTAAGTGCTAGTTGTTACGAAGGCACAAGAGTCTGAAGTTGTTTCCGAGACTTCGGCAGGTTGTTACCAGACCCGTAAATTCAGCAGTATCTATCTCAATCTCAATTTCCGCTACGGGAAATAAAAGCAAAGTTATATAGCCAAAAATGAGAAGCTATTTTTGCCCCTTTTCGTTTCCCATTCCTTTATAACCATATCTTTAATGAAGTTTTCATGGCAATCTTGACATTACATCAGCTAATGATGAGATTTTTACCACTTGAACATAGAAATGACGTCACACATCAGGAACTATTCCAAACGCGGTCTTTGCCATTGAGTTAATAAATAAAAACTATAATATTGAGTGGATCAATTTTACATCAACTTATTTGTGATATGAGATTTAAATCTTATAAGTTATTCAAAATTGGTATCTTTATTGCCCCATAAACTATTAATCATAAAAATGATAGTGACTGAGCTATAGAAGAGTTGTAAACACAAACTGATTTCATTTATTGTACCATATTTCTAGTTTTAATGAATATATAAAGAAATTTTATGGGGGTGCCTTTTTAAATTAAGTTTCTAAGATAGCTATCATGTCAGACCAATAACTCATTATGCAAACGTGAGCGGCTTGAAACATAAACATATTGCATTGAAATGGATCACAGCAAATGGGGAAAGGTACAGGGTGAGCCAAAAAAGCTAACCCAAACAAATTTTAATAACTTGATCATCCAGCATTGGTTTAAAATCATATTAGGCATAATTGAACCTTCTTCAATGTTCTTTCATCCAAATTTCATCGATCTATTCCAAATGACCAAGATTCTATAGCTATTTTACAAAACATCCTCAAAATGCCTGTCTCGTCTCTGGAGGCTAATTTGAACGCATCTGGTAAAGTTGTTCTGATAGATATCTTGTGTAATGTGTCTAGTCGTTTCATTTCGTTTGGTACACATACTAAGGCCCGGGTATTAAATAAGCCATTGGTCATCCTTCTTATCTCTTGTTTCAACTGAAGGTGTGTTCTCAGAAGAAGACTGTGAGTAGCTCCCACAATTCTTTCATATTCTATCGTATTCTGGGATTCCCCATTACGTCATCTCCCGCATCATCTCCAATCAAATTGCAGGATCATGAGCACGTGCTCTCAGTGCTGCACATGCACAAAGTTAAATTTGAAATCGTGGGAATGGCGTTAACATCAGTTCAACATCATCATTTCAAACCTACGGTAATACTATTGAAGTTACTCGATCCATACTTGTAGAGAATACTCATAAAACTACAGCGAACGTTTGGAGATCCATTTCAATGGCAAATGAGGCCTGTTAATAAAAATTTGTTTTCGAACGTGCTGATACGAAAGGTCATCTTTGGGAAATCCCCCCCCCGTGTGTTCTATAACGGTGGGTGTGAGGGGTTGCAGAATATAGTACATGCGTCATCAAATAGCTAGTATAAACATTGTTCGCGCAAAAAATAGTCATCATTCTGAGAGTGGGATTCATTCTCAGTCTGGGGTTTGTTGATCTTTCAGAACAATCATGACCACGTGGTCTCTCAGTGCCGTGCATGCACAAAGTAAAATTTGAAATCGTGGAAATGGCGTTAACATCACATTATTTCAAAACTACGGTAATCACCCTTGGTATACGCAGCTAACGAAAATTGACCGGTATGGGTCAAAAGCTGGACCGGTACGGGTTAACGGTTTTATTTGAATTTAAAACAGCCATAACTTGCTCAATATTGACTTCCTCGTGTCTAATTTGAAATATATGATGCCTCCCGATGTTTTTAAGTACCCCAATTTTTTACAGATTTTTAAACGGACCAAAACTTTCTAAATGCGCATTTATGCTCTTTTCTCTCGAGAACGACTGTCTCATTCTCGCGTTTGATTTTATAAAAAATGCCAAACTTTGTGACAAAGCATTTCATCAGCTATTGCCCCGAACCGGTCCGTCTTCTCGCTGCAAGCAGATTGCCCCGAACCGGTCCGTCTTCTCGCTGCAAGCAGGATGAAATTCTTTGTCACAAAGTTTGGCATTTTTTATAAAATCAAACGCGCGTCATTGAAACTCACAAGATGTAAATAGCATGTCATTTGCATCATACCTTGATGGGGAAAAATAGATCTTATATGTTAGAAGTACTAAATAAAAGTTATCGTGAAAATGAGACAGTCGTTCTCGAGAGAAAAGAGCATAAATGCACATTTAGAGAGTTTTGGTCCGTTTAAAAATCTGTAAAAAATTGGGGTACTTAAAAGCATCGGGAGGCATCATATATTTCAAATTATAGACACGAGGAAGTCAATATTGAGCAAGTTATGGCTATTTTAAATTCAAATAAAACCGTTAACCCGTACCGGTCCAGCTTTTGACCCGTACCGGTCAATTTTCGTTAGCTGCGTATACCAAGGCTGGTAATGCTATTGAAGTTACTCGATCCAAACCTGTAGAGAATACTCATAAATTAATAGCGAACATTGAGAGTCATTTCAATGGCAAATGAGGCCTGTTTATAGAATTTGTTTTCGAACGTGCTGATACGAAAGGTCATCTTTGAGAAATCCCCCCCCCCCCCCTGATCAAGCAGGTATCAAAGTAAAAGTAAAGAACATCACGATTTAAGCCTTTGCCTAGGTGAAAACAGTGCAAGAAAAACGAGCTCGGCTAATGCTCAGTTCTAATGCGAAATCCTGGAGGGAATTACGAAAGCAATGCAATGTTGGTATAATACGATTAAATATGAATATGTCAGTTACTTAACCATTGGTCTTGCCAAAGACAATTTGTAATTCCCATGCCCGATAAGGCTATTGTAACATTCTCTGATAACATTATTCTCGTCTGAAAGTTGAAAAGTTGATTAACTTATGAAATAATATTAATATAGTTCCTTGATTGCAATGATCATTTGTCAGACCTTCATTCAAGCGTTTAATGGAACATGATTAGAATGGAAGCATGTTATTGGTTAAATAAAACGATCATAAACATGTATAGATAACAAAGATTATAATTCTTGGTGTTATATCTGAAATTTAATAGGCTAGCATATTGCCAATAACTTATGTATACTGATTGTGAAATATATTTTATACAAATCATTTTTAGAAAGTGAAATACCTTACTTTTTCAAATGTATCAATTATCTAAGAGTGTATCTAGACAGCATTAAGCACCTAGATCAAGGGGTATCGATGTAAATGCACTATATAGACTTTTATAAATAAAAATAAATAAAACACCACATTTTCTGTTTCGTTTGATAAAAATAAATGATTAGGACTCTAATTGAAGAGATATACCAATGTAAAAGTCAACGTGTGAGTGGGAGAATGCATGAATGAATGAATTTGAATGGGTATGAATGAAGTTCAAGTTGTAAGATCATGTAAAATTATAATTATCTATTTAAACTTATAGTACATATTTCTACGTATAAAACTTTTGTGAAATTACATTTGTATTCTTTTATATATTGTACTTGAAATGTATTAAATGAGTACTTGAATAAAAAATAAATAAAATAAAAAAAATAAATAAAAAAATATTGCCAATAGCAGTTAAAGGTCAACCCAGAATTATTCGCCGTTGTTTGAATCTAAACGAGGGTGGAAGTCCAAGTTTGACACTAGAGTCGGTGTATTCACTCAGTTAAAACCCTGACACTCATTAAAAACATTGAAAAAAAATATGTAAAATATTTGAAAATCGACTCAAAAACCTTATTGTAAGGGTTGAAGGCGAAGCTCTCTTTTGAGAAGCGAAGTCAAGCGAATGCAAAGGGTACTGATAAAACATGTTCCAATTGGCTTGAAAAAATCATTGCATTCTTATATGTGTGTAAATACTTGCCAGTGAACACATTGCTAATCCACAATTTATTTAAGACTGATTGGATTGGGTCCATTGTTTGCAGTTATTGACATTACACATCCAAAAATGCATTAGTTTCGCATTTTCAACGAGAAGAGATTTAGAATGCCTGACTTACAATAAATTGCCTCTTCGTATTAAAGATTCATTTATATTCTACTGTAGTAGTTTTACCGAACTAACGGAAATAGAAACGCAATGTGAGATATCTAAATTGTGCAGTTTGAAAGTCAATCATTATACTTATTCCCACAGAGGTGAAGAGAGGGGACACGTAAAGTGCTTCGTCACAACCTACAAGGCCATCGACTTTGAAATTTGTCCGATTAGACTTCTTTTTCTGGTATACGCCAACACTGTGAAAATATGTAAGGTTTGATTTGTCAGTGATTTGACGATGTGTAAGTTCCCTTAGTTGACTGGGTAGTGGATTTTTTAGAGATTCTTGGTTTTTCTCTAAAAATACATTATTTTGAAAAGACATGCAAAATCAAACTAAGTAATCCTTAAATTTTAAGAAACGAGTTTGATCATAGAAGGTTCTGGATGACCCATGACAACTCATTTGTAAGAGGCTAAAGACGATAAGTGTCATAATTCTGATTCACCACCCACCCGTAATCTCCCTTTGGAGCTAAGTTAAGTCTTAATGTGAGCTTTGTTTGACAAAGTATATCCTCCTTATCACACCGCTCTATGACGTTTAATTAAAAAGGATTAAATCGGGACCAATTTTTCGGGTGTCAATGCATGATATTAAAGGGGGAAAAGTGTTGTAAATTTACTCACTTCGAGAGCCATGTTAGATTTTGAAACTTATGGCTCTCAAACGGAGAAGTGAACAGCTGATCAATAGTGACCTTTGAAATCGAATTAAGTCGATCCGCGGCTTACTTTTGGTCTCTAACTGTGTCTTACATCAGTATCATCAATCCGTGTAAGTATTGGAGCGCTGGAGTACTTCTTTTTCGATCAAGACTTGTAAATTGTTCATCGAGTGAACGTTTTTTAGACCTATTTCCAATATGGCGGTTTGCTAGGTGCGAGATACGCAACGAACGAAATGAATTTTGAGACCTCCGGAGATTTACGAAAATGTCCGAGCAGAAACCGCCATATTGGAATTTGGCAGTAAAACGATTCACTCGACTAACAATTAGAAGTCTTGATCGGAAAAGAAGTACTCCAGCGCTCCAATACTTACACGGATTGATGATACTGATGTAAGACACAGTTAGATACCCAAAGTAAGCCGCGGATCGACTTAATTCGATTTCAAAGGTCACGATCATTGAGCTGTCCAAATGCTCCGTGGGAAAGCTATTATATCAAAATCCAAATAGCTTTCGCAGGAAGTAATTGTAAATGGAAGTATATAGAAACAGGTATATTGATAAATATCTTGCCCGTGTACAGAAAGTAAAATGTGTTATTTGCAATGTGAAAAATACTGTCAAAGAAAATATTTAATCCTAATACCATATATTATCCTTTACGCAAGGTCCGATCAATTTCACTTGAAATCAATGTAGATTGAAAGTAACTGAGAACCTGGAATTTTAGTTCTTATGAATGGCTGCAAAGAATGTTTGACTAGTACTTTGAGAAATCAAATTTTAAAATGGATTTTTCTCTGAACCATTTTCAAACAGAGATAAGTTCGTGTCTCGCTTATTCACGCGGTCCTAACTTCGACCGTTATTTTGAATTTTTGACCTACCGGATGTTTGGAAATCAAGGATTACGAGTCTCATACTGCACCGTTTTTCTTCAAACTTGTTCCATTCAAAGCATAACAAAAATCCCTTTCTGATGGTACATTATTCTCTACTTTAGTCCCTACTTCCAGCGGCATTTTGGTCCCCAGCTGTAAGAAGGCCTTCTAACAGCTGGGGACCAAAACGCTGCTAGAACGAGGGACTCTTTACAATAAGTAATGCATCGACAGAAAGGCAATTTTGTTCTGCTTTTAATGGTATAAGTTTGGAGAAAAACGGTGCAGTGTGAGAGTCGCAATCCTTGATTTTCAAACATCCTGTAGGTCAAAAATTAAAATTAACGGTCGAAGTTAGGACCGCGTGTTATTGATCAATGCGATGCATCGGTCCGAATTATCGCTTACTAATAGATACCTATGGTTTTTTACATGTGAATTTTTTTACCTGTGAATTTAGTTTGAAATAAATTCACGATTTTTCGAAAGAAAAGTCCTTCTAAAAGCACTTTTTGAAACTAAAATAAAAAATTTCACATATCACATTTAGATAACATCGGTTAATATTACAATATGTGACTTTAAATATTGAACACATCAGGGGGATCACCTTTAAATTATAAGTATAAGTAGTAAGTACTGGTCTTAGATCAATTACAGATATTTAACATATATCGGCTGAAAGTAAATACCACCAAGATAGATCATTATATAAAAACGCAGAAAAGAATAAAATTAGTACAACGGATTCCCACGATTGTTTTTCATAAGATAAATTCGAATCGCACGATCAATTATGTAACAAAAGCCAATTTGATTAAATCCACTGTAGAATGTATTACAAAAATGTCAGTTTCAAGCAATGAGAATTTCTAATGGGACTCAAAACACTGATAAGTCACTTTTCCTGATTTAGCAAAAGATAAGGAAAGAAATAGATTTATTAAGAGAATAAAGATAACGCGCATGAGTATTGAATATTGTCAGTTGATAAATTAATTTTTAAGTAAGGTACAATTAATCCAATGGAACAAGAGAACATCTTGCTCATCCTTTTATAAGAAGGTATCCAACGCTCTATTGCATTTTCACTGAGTTTCATTTCATTTTTAATTCTTAGCGAAATAGCTTGTAATATAATTCTTTGAAACGAGAATTCACAGACGTCCACGGAAAGCAAAAAGTACATTTATTGCCCTTTATTAAAAAGGAGATACAGGAAAAGGAAATACTATTGTCATATATCGTAATTCTGAAATGATTTCTCTGGAGTATAACTTCTCTTATACATGGTTGATATGATTCTGGATATACGAGAAAGTCAAGTGTATAACAACAAATAACAATCAGATTGCAATTTGCTTCAAGGGGTTGAATTGAATAAATATTGAAGCTATTACTTCTTTATTGTACCCACTTCTCCCCACGAGTTCGATGTTTTTGTGTAGCACACATATTGTTGAATTTCCCTCCCTCTAAGAGTTCTTTCCTTTGCACGTATGACGTTCCTATCCTCCGTTTACGACCGTATTGTACTTGGGATCCCTGGGTAGGGATCTCTTTGGAGTTTATTGGATTGTTATTTCTCGTTACATAAGCAACTCCCCTTTCTTCAATTTTCTCCGTTTCCAATTGCAGAAGATTCATGTCCTGGCTCGTGTGGTTTTATCCGAGTCCACGGAAATAACGGTGGCCCCGCCGTATCAAGATCTTTGCCCCTCACTGGTAAGCACTTTTATTTCTTCAGGTCGGTGTGACTGAACTTGGTAATATGCAAAACGGGGTTCTTGTTAAATACTAGAGAATCGTTCACCTTTTAATATAATTAATGGATCTTAATAGGAAGTCCATCAACTATAATAACACATTTTAACCAAATCTATTGACTGTGTAAAGACAAAAATACAAGCTAGACGCCTATAATATCCTGATAAATGTTGACAAATAATTCAATTGCGGTCCTAGAAACATGGGTCTGCAAATATTTAGAAGAACATATGTCGCCATATAACCTCGTAAAACTGATACATAGTTTTTCCAGTATATTATTATGGTGGTCGTAATACCTTGTGAGGTGATTAAGACCCATATTTATAAGGACGTTATTTACTTTTATAGACCATAATCGACATAATTTTAGTCATAGAAAAACGCAAGGGACAACACTAATTTAAAGAGAACACAATAAGCAATTAAGCTCGGCTCTCAGTCTCGTGATACCAAATGCCAGACGTTATTCAATATTTTCATGTCGTTTACAATCATAAAAAAATCTCACTTCTTTAAACATAGATTGTGATCCTCGCTTATCACACTCTCCCTCTGGAGTTGTCCCTTTTAGATAACATCAGTGCTCAGAGCAAAGATATAAACTGAGGTTATGCTACCCTATTGACTTCTTGTGAATTTTACTAATATTCAACCAACTTAACTAATAGCAATACTATAAGTTATTGAATTCTTTGAAGTGCAATGCAGGATATATTCTGCTCGAGAAATTCTGTATTGGAACGAGGCGAAGTCGAGTGCCAATAAAGAATATCGAGAGCAGAATATATCCTGTATAGCACTTCAAATCATTCTATAACGTTTTTATCGTGTGATCATAGACCAATACATTTTACTTAGGAGATAATCCCTTGGACATATTCTGAATTCTCTGTATTGCTACTGAGATTGTCCCCTCCGTATCAATATTGTCTGTATTGCTACGGAGATGATCAATGGGGACAATCTCAGTAGCAATAACGATTTTTACGGCACAAGACCTGACCAATTAGAGGGCTTCATTTTACAGATCATACGATAAAGATATAAAACACAATATTCCATAATTTAGTAAAGGAAAGCATTCAATAAACGACAATCATATCCTGTTCTTTAACCGCTTTCACATATTATATGGCAAAACCGCCATATGAAAACACTGGATTTCAAATCATTTCGACATCTGGCCAAGTAGAGTGCCATTTAATCATAGTGTACAGCAGGGGGATGCACAGAATAACCAAGTCTGTCTTTAAAGTATAGCATGGCTATACTGTGATCTGATTGGTCAGAAAGTATAGAATGCAAAATTATGTTGACTAAAATTGGACGAAATTATCCTAGCTGATCAGTGAAAAATGAGAAAAAAGTTCTAAAATGAAAAATATAAGTATATAGAGTTCTATCTACACTAGTGCAAATGCGTTGAAATTATCGCAAATAGTTGCGTGTTTATATTTTTAATGACATCCCAACCCAAGTACAAAATGTAAACACATCCAAGGATAAATGGTATGATTCTCTCCTCTTGGGGTTTAAGGACGCCTCATCCAGAACTCACTCATGCATGTACAGTGGAAACCTATACTTAATTTAGGAGTTGAACTTCTTGTAACACTTTTATTAACTATCAGTCAAACTGACAGGCTGAAGCTGATTTATGACATTACAACATGCAAAAGACGAAAATAAGAGATGTTCAGATAATGTCAATACTTAATTGATGACATGAGTACTTATGTCATCACTTTTGACGTTAAAGATAGAGATGATCATGTTCAATATAGGAATAAAGGAATATATTTATGTGGGGGTCAAAGCATAATCATTCAGTTTAGTAAAGAGGGTTTAAGTTGTTTAAGAGGGTTTAAGTTGTTTATCGCTGAATAATTGTTAAAAACATATACAGGTGCATGTACGATTGTGGGAGAAGATGAAAATAAATAATTTCATTATTTAGAATTATTTAGAATTAATTTTAGAAGCAGAATCAGAGAATCGTAACTAGTGAGCAAACTAAATTCAATTTTAGAATATTTATTTTGGCTCATAATACAGTAAAACCTGAGTTAGTGAACACATCTCTCTAGTGAACACCTATCAACAGTGAGCGTTTTTATTCGGCAAAACCTTTTTCTCCCATTGACGCACATGTTCAAGGAAAATCCTATAGTGAACACATACCTATTGTAAACAGTGAACGCTAAATCTTGGCAAAATCAATTACCCTGTCTCTAGTGAACAATGAATGTAGATATAAGATTTCTCGCAGATTTTCATGTCCTTGAATTAATTCAATAAAGTCATTTAACTGACTCAAATGTGCCAAGGATTCCATTTTGATGAGATTATAAAGAATTAATAAAAAGAGATTAAAATTTGATAATAAAAGGATGAACCATTCAGATGACCGTCAGTCTAAAATAAGTATATGACACAACAACAAATCAAAAACTTATCGCTAGAGTGTCATGGGTTATCATGGGTAGAAAATACAAATAAATTGATTAATCCCTCCTCTTTTTTAATATTGCAAAATGCCGCATATCAATCCTCGCTTTAGTGAACACCTACTAACAAAGAACTTTTTCTCGGCAAAAAATATTCACTATGCACAGGTTTTACTGTATTCCACTAATTCCCTGTCATGTCTATTTTCTAAAAATCTTTCAGGTACATGGTTATTCCTGGAAATCTTTAAATTTTTATTTACTATCATGTGTTATTTTTCTATTTTTATGGTTTTCACTTTTATTATTTGGGAGAATTTAAACATAATTTATACATATATCCGATCGTTTTGGAGATATTGTATTTGAGATCATAAAGAGAGTAGATTGGTAGGCCAATAGACTAGATGCGAGTAGAAAAGTCTTGATTTACGCCATTAAATATTCAAAATTCAGTCAAAGCGATGTTATATTTGAAATCTACATCTAAAAGTACATCTAGAAATATGGTTTCGAAAATTGTTTATCAAGTTTGAAAATTTAATTATTTTTGAAAGTGTGACTTCTAGTTCGGGTTGATTCTCCATAGAGCCCATGTTACAAAATCGCAAAAAGTGAAATATCTTTTCTTATATTGGTCAGATAATATTTTCATTTACTGGACATATTTTGATTTGCATAACTATTAGATACATAAGGGTTATATGAAAATTGAGCCACTAAAACAGATGTTATTTAAGTTAAAGGGAACTTTCTACTATACCCGCCATGCTATCTGACCCGAACGAGCCACCTGGTGGTGAAACTGGTAACTACCTACTCGCATCTGCGTTATTGTACATGTTGCTTGCAATTTTGTCACCCCCTATAGATCTGATTCTGCCTTTAATACACATTAAAATACATTATCGAAATCGGGTTGATCATCCTTGCAGCAAGGGTACATAGTACATTGTGGGGTTGAAATCCTTGTCATTCTTTTGCTCAAGATTCATTTATCAGAAGTAATGATTCTGTTATGAAGGAACGAAGAGGCTGCGATATGTCTTGAAATCTCAAGGGAACCCAAACCACTAAACAGAATAAATGGAGTTTTCACACTACATTACGTGGATAAATAATGAGAGCGTGTATGCCCTTTATCTCATGAGAAATAAGAAAGATAATCTATTTATTTTGAAATGTATCAACACTGAATATGAAATCGACAATATATATCGGTACAAGCAGAATTCTTGATTGAATTTATAACTTAAAAAAATTAATAAAATGTTCTGCAAAGTAATTGATATAGTTTAAAAGTTTAGTTATTTTAACCTCCGTAGAAGTGCTAATATTGATTTACTCTCATCTTGAAAATTAAAAGAAAAATCAATTTATAAGAAAAATAATGAACTTACTATATTTCCTAGGGCTATTCTTTACGAAAACAATTCATTGTGGATGACCTTGGACAAATTGGAAATTGGACTCTATAAATCAATGATAAGATGAGTTCCATTTCAGTTCTTGACGGCAGTGTCTTGGGTCTAGGATAAGAATGGGAATTTGTAAGTTAAGCAAGCTTGATCTTTAGACAAAAGAAGTAAAGAAAATAATCATCTTCGCTTCATTGACAAACTCATCGCCGTGTTAGGCCACATGAACGACAGTACACAATTATGTATAGTTGAGCAAATGGAAGCCAAGAGAATGACGCTATTTTTCCGAGGGTCTGATAAACCAATGGACAGTGAAAATTGTCAGAAATAAAGACTCTGAAACGGAGCTCCAGTGGTTACAATCTTGTTTAATTAACCCTTTCATCCCCAAGGGATCATTTTATGTAAAATCAAAAATAATTTCAAATCTAGTATAGACGCTAATAACAAGACAGAATATGACTTGCAACATAAGAAAATATTTAGACTAATATATGCAGTACACATTGACCTTGGAGATAAGAATCTTGGATTCTGTCGAATGAGACCAATTGTAATGACGTGCGTGGACCTGGCGACAATTCGATAAATACGTGCTCATGTCACCTTTAGCGTTAACCCCCGCCTTATTAAAAAGCTAACCAATTGTTTCATATATCATCCTAGTGTAGTATATCTGTTACATTGGACGTTTAAATAATAAAAATCGTTATTTAGAAATCATAATTTATTCTCACAATTTATCCCTTGATGATGAAAGGGTTAATTATTCAACTTTGTGACTGGTGAATCTCCGTTAGCATGTTAGACCCTCACCTTTTTAACACAAATTGCGCCATTAATTTCATTGAAGAGGGGGGTTTCAACTTTCATTTGAACAGCTACAGTCCGCGCAATGATAGTCCGCATGTGTTAATGCGTATACATATATATATCAATAGTGCATCATTTCAGGTGAAGGAGGTCTGACTCGCAAGTCTTCGTTTTATACTTTTTCATTATATTTCAACAGTAATCTCAAGAACAAGAATTAATCAAAATCAAAATATGCCTCGTATTGTCAATGTTATATGATATTACATTGACA